GTGAATGTGTGCCAGGGGCCTAACTAAACACAGCCTTTGGAAAAAAGAACTCTGTGTGTGTGTGTGTGTGTGTGTGTGTGTGTGTGTGTGTGTGTGTGTGTGTGTGTGTGTGTGTGTGTGTGTGTGTGTGTGTGTGTGTGTGTGAATTATAACATACCTGGCCATAGAGTATTGGTGAAGACAGAATGAGTGCCATGATCCACACACCAGCCATGATCTTCCGTGTTCGACCCAGCGTGCAGACTGACTTAGCTTTCATCGGGTGCAGAATGGCATAGTACCTGATATATAAAACACACGCAAACAAGAGTTAGTAGATCTCATATCTCCATGAAATATACAGAGCTTTTGTTATCTTTATGTTTTCTTCATTTTCCTTTCTTCACATTTGCTCTTTTCCTTTGGAATTGATTTTGGCACTCTTCGACATTAGTATCGTTTTCCAATATTTTTTGTTCAATTTACGGCATATATTTCTTAATTTTGCAGCTGCTTTGCACGATTTAGAGTATGGTAAACAACATTGTTTGGAAGCGGACGAAAATTCATGCGCGCGGATGCCATCCACAGAGCACAATTCATTCCAGTTGGTAGTTTTCTCTGCTCAAATTACATTATATTGTATAGTATTGTATGTTGGTAAAATTCGATTCTAACATTTCATCATGAACATTATGCAAACGTTGTTGGGCTTAGTGTACCAAGGACTACCCTGGCCTGCAGGTAGTTTCAGCCGCTTTGGGAGGAAACCTACACCACGTCTTCCTGACGCCCAAACTGCCTGCTACATTTCAAATTCATTGCTGTATATGAATCCTGACATCCTCTCACTGCTAACATTCTATACATCATATTTCAGTACCTTATGATATTTCCTGGTTGTGTCGTTCGCCTACTTGAATGGAAAAGATACCTTCTTATCTTTCTTCGCAGCTGTTACATATTTCTCCGGGACCTCATCAAGGAAATCTTTTCATACAGGCATTACCCGACAAGAATGGTTGGGATTTCAACATACGTGTGTCCCGTAGCTGTTATGTGTCTCTTATGGCTCTTCAGCGCATTTCAATATTGTTACGCCTTTATTTATACATTCCTCTTTGCAAAAACTCAAGCTGAGGTCGCTTCACTTTGGGATATCTGCCTTTAGAAAAAATCCCATTCACCTTAAGTATGACGAATTCATTCTCTTCCTCATTCATAGTTACGTCGCTAGATACTTATGACTATTTTCTAGAGTAGAACATTTGAGCTGGTGGTAAGTCCCTGTCACAAATTCCCAAACATGGCCTCCCGAACACTAGCCAAACGCCTCCAGCCATGGCAGTAGGTCGCTGTGAAGTCGGTGTTCGTACAAGTCGTACAAAATGTTCAAAACTTTCGGGGTTTTGTCGGAAGGTTCGGGTATCGTTGCCTGGTGTTGGGTTGTAAGTCAGCAGAACACCGGCCAACCCTTCGGAGCAATCCGCAGCTTTTGGAGTGTCACGGGCGGGGAGTAAATTTGGCTGGTGGCCTGAATCTAGTCAAACTGCTCCTGAACGTCAACCGAACGTGTGTGATAGGGGCTTACCACATCTACATGTATCATATCCATATCCTGACTAGAGAAAGTTTCAATCATCAATCTTTTATGTCTGGGCGCTACGCAAACGTTTCATATCAACGTTAAGATTGTTTCAGATGTCAACTCAAGGGAAGTCGTCGATAGCTCTAGTCAAATGTTAACAATCAGCAACAAGAACACGGACAAAGAGCTGTCGATATTTTTTTTCCGGTAAAAAGGGCAACATGGCATCTTTCTCATTTCTCCGTTGTCAGATCGGAAACTATCCTGATGGGAAAATCGACTTCTTGTCGGGGAAATTCGTTCCACGCAAAAAGCTAAGAATAAAAGAAGAAAATGATACTAGTATAAGAAGTACGATATATTGCATTCGTAAAGAATGAAGAGTCGTCTTGTTTAAGAGGTTAGTTTGGATCGCAATTGTTTAGATTGTTTTGAATATTTCAGCATTCAACCGTATCTCTCTAAATTAAACATTGCACTTTTCGCATGCTATAAGATCTCACGCGGCAGATTTTTCGTAACAGAAAACATGCAAGTTTTGTCTACAAACCATTACAAGTACGTGGATTTAAAGAAATGCGATGCGCCACTGATAACTCATAACCAGCATTTCACCCGAAATGGTCTTCTGAAATCGACCATTCGTAAAGTCTCTGATCATGACAGGAAAGTTCTTGCTCTTGCACCGTTTAAAAGGATGCGGAGTCCTTGCCTCTAGACTCTGATCTTGTACTTGATGTATGAGAGTTCTGTGGTGGAATTTATGATCCTGTCAGGCAGAGTTCTGTCTCTGATCCGCTACAGTTCACGAGATCACCACCCGTCAATGTTCTGTAGACAACGCGTCTCTGAACACTTCCTGTGGTATACGTCTGCACCAAGTACGGCTCATATCAGAACTTGGCCAGAAAAAAAGTTGAAATAGAGACCAACTTTCTTTTTTTACCTTTCTTTCTTTCTTTCTTTCTTTCTTTCTTTCTTTCTTTCTTTCTTTCTTTCTTTCTTTAAATGAGGATAATGAAGGATAATCGTGATTTTCAGTAGTCTCTACCAGACTAACTACGCTCGCTTTATATAGGAAAATATTTGCCGGGGGAGTTTGGCCGCCTTGTAGGTTTGACTGGCCGTGGAGAGAAAGAAACTACCTCCCCGCGAGCGGACTCCCTTGGCCAATTTTACTTTTTTTTGCCGAATTCTACGACCCGTATTCCAGTAGAAAGGCCCGGTGGAGGATAGATTTTTAGTATGTATGTAGCTTAGGTGATGCTTGATATAACTGTGAGCAATAAGGAATTTCGAATGACGAAGACAAGATTGGTTAATTAAAAATTCTATTGTCCCTCGCTTGGTCTTATCACTTGACTGTATATAAGATATATGAAGTAACCGACTAAATAGATAAAAATAGATAGACTAAATACGGAGATACAGAGAACACTTTTGTATGAGAAACCGATTTCTACAGTTTCGTAATGCATATTAGTGTTAACTAGTTCTACCAGTTCATTCAAGTGACGCCGAAGAAGAGTGGTGGGTGTCACTCGAAATGTCGGGAAGTAATCTCCGTATCTATCTCGCAGTAGAGTTGGAATTGTCTACGGTTAGGCCATGTTGATTTGATTATATGGATGACATCCGCGCGCGCATGAATTTTCGGCCGTTTCCAAAAAAAAAAAAAGTTTTCAACCATACTGTAAATCGTACAAAACAGTTGCAAAATGAGAAGTTACAAAAAATAATAATAAAAACTATACCAATGTCGTAGAATGCCAAAATCAAACGAAAAAAGACGAAATTGTAAAGAAATGAACTTGAAGACTAGATTATTCGCCAAACCATATTCTGTGCCATTTGCTCAACCCTCATGACCTACGTAGATTTCATAATGAAAAGAACTTTTTTTTTTGCAAAACTTTTATTTTATTCGCACGCGCGCATCAGTTTTGGGGCTCCCGGAGGATGTCATCCATATAATCAAATCAACATGGCCTTACTTCTGAATAATTTATCATGGCTATGGTTGACATGCAATCGGATGTGACGGAAATGAAATTCGCATTTCAGTACCAGAAATGCCACATTTGCATTCCTGGTTTGGCGATGAAACTTTCCGTACCGTTCATTCAATCAACAAGCAATCAGAATATTGAAACGTTACAATCACTCCATGTCGCACTGGATAATTTCTTCATCTGTAGTGTGATACATTTCGATATTTCATATTCGTTATTCTCGCGATTGTAAAGAGCAGTACGTCACATCTTTTCATCTTACGTATTTTACGAGATAGTTTATCTTAGTTGATTTTATTTTATTTGATTTATTGAAATTCTAACAATACAATACACGTGGAATGAAAATCAACTGTTGCTAGTGTTGTGTACCACACATAGAAACAAATTCTGGACAATTCTTTATTTTCCCTTTCGCAAATACAATATTTTCCCTTCAGTTAAGTCTCGTAAAGTGCTTTCCCAAGGGCACAAGATCGGTGGCAATTCAGGACTCAAACCCGTGACCTCTTGGTTCTGAGTCGAGCACTCTGTGCAGTTACGCCACATGACTACAGTTAAACACCGTTTCTTCTCTCCCATGTTTGAAAACTTCACACACACAGGAGATGTAGCAGCTCTTACATAAGCCTCTTACATACGGAACTGTAGTGCCCAGCGGGAGGATATTAGCGAAGGTTCTATGGTTTCAATGAGAGCTTTGTGTTGCTACATGTACATTCACAAAAAATGAGCTCAAAAGAATTCCCTTAATTGGCAAATCAGGAATTATCAGAGCAATTTATGAAATCTCAGGGAAGTTGTTCTATGGTTTACAAAGTAGCAGTGACGTTCTCTCAGAGGATTGGCATACGTCTAGTTAGAATCGTTTTTGTTCTTTTTTATCTACAGACTGTATGCTTTTACTGAGCTTAGAAGCTATGCTGACTGATGCTTTACGTTTGAAATTCTGGGTATCCACTCTGTCCTGTGGGAGGTACAAAACTTAAGGGAGCATTATGGAACAGATTTGCACTAAAGATATCTACATTTAAGCAAATCTTTGTGCGGTGGTCATTTACTTCCAGCCCCACATGCAGCGCACTACTCCTAACCATGGTTGCAGGGATCCGGAGTTCGGCTGGTGCTCGGGAGGGCAATTCGTGAATGTGTGCCAGGGGCCTAACTAAACACAGCCTTTGACTTAGTATATCTTTCTATGTACCGTATTGCAGCAATGCTTCCAACAAGCGTGCAAGCTAGCTGATCTGTTTCTTTGTACAACCAACAAAATTTAGATTTATAGTTTCCAGCAAAATTTCAATGTACCAACATCCATCAACCCATAAGATTCCCTGAACGGTTTTCCATTGAGACTGTCGGCTTTTCTTTCATGTCGCCACATGTTAATGACTATGAATCTCTAAATCCAGAAAGCTATCAGCCGACACATCCATATCGACGTTTTGCCTTTTGATCTATAGTTTACGGATTTAATTTCTTTTTACTCGTCACGTATCATTGATTCCCTGGTCCCAGAAGCTAGGCCTACCTTAAATTCCTGTCGTTCTTGGTCGTGTTTTTATTGCGTAAAACAGTTACACCGAGGGTGATCTTTCTGCAAACAATTTTGCGTGAAAGACTCAGGCTAACAGCGTTAAGTACAGTACTGTGAAATGCATTTGTTTCCCCCGTGCAATTACCTGGTACGAAAGTATGGCTCTAAGCGGGGAGGTTAAAAATCAACCGCCTTGCTCTAATGTGATTTTACCTCCGTGCTCTAAGCTATTTCGTGTTCATGATTCAGCTTTCGATGAATATCTTTCTAATGCCATGCTTCAAGCTAATGGGTTTTGAATAAAGTTCAATATTTTTGGCAATAGTTCACTTTTGTTGGAAGTTACCTAGGTAGCTAATTTGGACAAGTTTGAATTATTTGGAACAGTCCGTTTTTATGTGAATGTAGATGGGGTGAAATATGTTGTATTTGCTCGCCAACAAATATCGGCCTTTCTAGTTAAAATAACGTCACCATGATATTCGGTGGTACCAGACAAGATGAATGAAAATTGCATAGTCGGTTGATGTATATTTTTAATAAAAAAACAGTGTCGTCGCCCGTGGTCTCTGAAAAAAAAGAAGCAAACCACACGTACTAAAGGTATCATTATTAGAAGGCTACTATCCCTACAATGACTATGTTCAGCTATATGTAAGCCATTGATTGATGGCACGTGCTCTGTGGTTTTTCAGGATCACTCAGCTCTCCTGGCGCGTAAAAAACGTGTCATTGTTACCGTCCTGACGACGCCTCCCGATTCTCAGGTGGATTTTGTACTACGGGGTGTGCGTATATATAGGTTTCAGTGCAATAATTTTAATACCAGGAATCGGGGTCCCTGAATAACATGATAATACTAACAACCCGCGCAGCAGTCGCGTAGTGATGCGACTGGAAGAGAAATATCTGTCTGCGCGCGTCTCAAAAACCCCTGTCACACATTCAGAAGCTCCGACCACCAAGCAAAGCAGGAAGCAGTCTGATTTTCCTTCAAATTTAGGCCGAATCTACAGCCCATACCCGAATGTTTGAAACATTTCGAGCTTCATTTTAGCTGCCCCTAACCATCCACTAAATATCATTTACAACCATTCAAAGATGTTTCGAGTTATGCTTTAGACACAAAAGCACAGCCCTCTGCAGCAATGTAGGAACATGATAGAATTATTATTCTTGAGATTGACCTGTTTTCAGAACTGCTACTAAAGTATTACCTAGATTTATTAACAGCTTCTTGAGTTGCTGAACACATGCAACCAACAAAAGCCCGCTGATGTACCGTTAGAAAAAACAAGGAAACCATTTTTGAACTTGACCTTTAGTTTCACAACAGTTACTCACATACCGAATATCAATAAGATCCATCTCCAACTATTTGAGTTAACATACAAACATGCGTTAACATACAAATAGACCCAAACCACAGTCACTCAACCATGGCCAAACCGAAGACATACCCTTCTGACGAAGGCAATAAATAAGAGCAATGACTGGTTTCTTGGATGAACGGTGGTCATTATTGACCGAGAAAACAGAGCTCCGATGTGTTTCACCACATTAGAATCTACACCCACGTCTTTCCCTGCGATCATCAAGCAAAAATGGAAAAATTTTGATCCTACAGATGAGCAAAACAAGTCTCTGTACAAGTGAAAAAGGCCAGGGAATTGACTTACATCACTCCACCTTAATGCAAACTGCATCTCCATTAAAACCAACCACCCTTCATCTGAAAGGTCACGCTCCATTAAGAGAGTTCCAACCGGACATGGGATAAACTCGATATACCCTGACGTCCGGATAAAAGTGTGTTTATGCCTTTGGTAGGAAGTGGACAGGCTTTCTTTTTTAACCGCCAGGCTTATTGTTAATCCAAAGAGGTAAAGGGTATTTTATCAAAGTTGTATGAATTCCGAGTGAAATCTAGGGTTGATCGGATAGAAGCTGCTTTTGCCAACATCAAGGAGACAGTATTTATATAGTAAATCCGAGACGTTAGTGAGGTAAGCTACTTTCAGGCTACCTCAGTCGTGAGATGTGCGTCTGTGGATTACGCCCCTGTCAAACATTCATGAACTAAGGCTAGCCGAACACTAACCGAACGACCCCCCCCCACCACCCACCGAGTAGGTCGGCTGGTGTTCGGCAAATTTGGCTCATATTTGGTAGCCTCCATAGTATGCCAAAAACTGGGGGTTTGGGGGGTCTTCAGGGTCTTTGGGAGCTTTTATGTGCTATTCTCTGATTGCATATAGACAACATAGCCGACCTGGTTGAATTACCCCCGTTTTTTTTTAGAACTGGGCTAATCAGAAAACTGCAGAAGACCACCAAACCCCCAGTTCCATAAGCCTGCTACGGAGGCTAAGTCATTATAGGGATAGTAGTCTTCCAATAATATGATGTCTTGAGTACGTGTGTTTTTCTTTGTTACGGGGGCTGCCGCATCACTATCAACATATACGTACCATGGTTGAATATGAAAGTTCGCACCCACTTGTTTACAAGAGCTAACGTTTTTATGACGGTCTTGAATCTGAATATGATGCAATAAGAAACGAACAGTATATGATCAACACAGAGTAATGGCTGCTCGCCCAGAATGTCAGACCTCAGCGCAGGGGATCATTTCGTATGTGGGAAAGTAGTGCCCAACTTGTTGATTTTTTACCCAATCTGTAGTTAGTCACTTTGGTGGTCGATTTATTTTTATACATGGTAAATGGCTAAACATTGAGCGTTTAGACAATGTAGGTAGATGTAATATATATTGAATAGCTGCCAAATAGACAGACAGGCACATAATCTCCCTACTAAGATAAAAACATAGCTTATTGATGTTGTAGCATACGTTTGTTTTGGATATTTTCAAACTACCAAGTTAGGTTTTACTAAGAAAAAATATCCAGTTAAGACTCACAAAAGTTCTCCGAAAGTGGACTCGCAAAAAAAGAATTATTAAGTTTGAAGCCTATCCTTCTACCCAGATAAAAACACTACCAGAAGAAAACAGGTTTCTTTTACCCTTCAGAGGTACAAAAGACTAGTCCAAGAAGAACTATTATCTTTCAAGTCCGTCCCTCTAGAAGGACTACGAGACGGGCTATCTAGATCTGTACACGAGAAATTGTGTAAATATTGCCCAATGAATGCAGTGGAAAATAAAACACATTGTATATAGTCTTCACTATGAGACTGACAGAAATTGATTATTTCAAAAAGTTGTCACAATTTCCTCCAGCTTCCTATACCGCGTTTCTACTGAGATGACAAAACTCACTCACTACCTAGAGCGTAGGTCAATTTATGTTCCATTTCGTTCAAAGAAGTTAAGTCCCTTAATAGCAAACGTGATAAAGTAGTAGTATAAGTTGTTCAGAAAGTAGTTGTATGTCTTCTATATTGCTTTCTCGGACACTGTGCAAGCAATTAGCCTTCGGGTGTGATTTTGTAAATTAAAGAATATTTCATCCTAAAACACTATAAGAGGATAGCAGACAGGTTTGTTTATTTACAGGGTGGCCCATTGAGTGATAGCACTTCTTTTCAATGGGGCCCTATTTTACACAACAAAACACAACAGTCACATACAAACAATAAAATTAGGATACAATAAATAATGATAATGGCAATGATAATAAATAAAAACTGATAACATTAATAAATATTGATAATAACAAAAAGTACCTCTCAATAGAGATGGCGGTGAGCGTGAGGACCGAGCAGACGACAGACGACAGCTGGACGAAGGCGATGGCCTTACACATGAACATGCCGAGCTCCCACTGCGGCAGGAAGTACTCAGCGGTACGGATCGGCACACAGACCGAGCAGATGATGAGGTCTGCCGCGGCCAGGCTGGCCAGGTAGTACGTAGTGGCCGCCCGCAGCCGCTTGTACCGGACGGTGCAGAATAACACCAGCGCGTTGCCGAACGTCCCCACGATGAACGTGATGCCGTACGTAACGATCGTCGGTACCGAGATCCACAGCATCCCCAGGATCTCGGCAGCGCCCACATACGGCACCCTGGCCGCCGTATCGTTACCTGGCTGCCACCAGGAGTCATTGCTGCTGTCGGTCGGGGCTTCGGTCCCAGGCGGAGCCGTTGGGGCCAGCGCTACGGTACCTTCTCCAAGTTCTACAGTCATCCTCTCAGACACGTTTCTCGTCGAGTGCGCAATTCTTGGAGCGGGTTCCGCTCAATATTAGTAGTGGTCTTGATGATCACGTGCGGGCCTCACGTTTTGAGTGCGAAGGCGGGCTTTTCTTCTTACGTATTCGTTGATTTCTTAGCGAAGCTCGGGTTGCCTAGTGACTGAAACTTTTGCTTCAAGCGCATCATTTCCCTGGTGGCTCGCAAGCTTCCATTACAACCTCTGCAAATTAGTGACTAAGTGCAAGGAGAGTAGTTCTAACGTTCATTGATACGTGTACAGAATTCATGTTTGGTACATACTGCACATTGACTGGTACATGGTATTGATGTGCTATAATTCACAGCGGACTAAGCTGCAGGAAATAGCCTTGCCGTCATGTACTGGCGTTTCTGACACTGACGGCTGGGCCAAATATACCCAGATAAGGATTGGTAAAAATTCTCCCTGGTAACATTGGTTGGTCCCAAGATCGATCATATCTAATGGGCCTCTTCTTCATAAAAAATCGAATCGACCATTCCAATTGTCAAGTTAATTGCAAAACATGCTGTAGGGCTAATTGCAGGTACAAACGACACGTATGAAAAAAATAAAACACAATGGTATAAGAGACTACGTCTAACAAGTATGCAACATTCTACAACATCCGCCTGCTTAATATGTAACACTGTCACTTTTTTTTAACCTAAGACTTATTTTAGTGTTACCAGTGGCAGTGTCCGTCTGTTTTGTTATCTGCTACGATATTAATTTGCACTTGAAACGTCGTTGACAATATTTTATATACATTTTATGTAATGGTTTATTTCTATTTTAATCGCTTAATATGACGTTTTATACTAATAATGTGATGCCCCAATGTCAATTCAGCCTCTGGCTGCCATTTTTGGGACAGTGTTGTTGTGTTTTAATGCAAATAAACCATTGATAACATACGTGGTACTAGTTTTGCTGGGTTTGACTCCTTCTTTTGAGGCAGTGACAGACGAATTTACCCACTTCTTCCATAACATGTGGGTTCTTTGATTTTAGTGGTAAAATAGCTTTCTGGTGGTAGGGAATAGTTGGAAAGTAAGGGAGCATTTTGGACACGGTGGTAAATGATTGGTTTCTGATATAGAATGGATATTGTGCGGTGGTTCTTCAGTAATGAAATTTGCCCTTCTCTGGCCGGCAGTACAGTGTATGTTTCACCTTTTATTCCTGAACCTGTCGGCAACCTAACGTCGAGCTCAAAATTCTCCTCACGAGCGCTGATGCAAAGCTTTTATCAGCTTTGGCTTAGAGTTGATACAAGGCGATTTCAGTATAATACAGCAAAAGTGTCTGCAAATTACTTAGCATTGGATTAGGATGAAGTTTTTGACGATATAACTGAAAAATTGACGTATATATTCAGACGTATCTAAAGCAATAACGAAAAAGATGAGGCAGTTGCGTCGGGTGTGAAATAAAATGTCTTATTCATCTGGAAGAATTATATCAAAAATGAAAAAATAACATTACTACTAACCCGTCGTAATGAATAAGATACCTGAGCATTCTTCAGAGGAAAATACATATCGTCTGCCTTTGTGTGTGTGTGTGTGTGTGGGGGGGGTTATACAGAAGACACATCGCCGAAAAAAAGTGAATTCAAATTTTAGAAACAAAAAACACTGCAGTAACAGTATATGATTTGCTAACCAAGCATGTAGTCTCTGGCATCCCGCTTTACTCCAATCAATAGAATCAAGCGTTTTGGACGTTTCAATTTATCAAAGATTTTCTCTTCTCTCAACCATGAAATTCTCGATTATAACACATTATGAGCATGATCGTATCTACCTTAAAACAGCTTAAAAGGCATAGAAAAAGGCAGATATAGAATATCATCTAGTGACGTAAAGTGATACATACAACATTATAGCTAATTTAGCAAGAGGATATTCTATGCTTGTTCGATCGGAATTTATCGGCTAACATTAGGCACTCAGGCGCCTGAAGCGTTGAGCATCACCTTTTAACCTGACTGATCTGTAAGAGGAAACCATTGCTCAAGGTAACCATGTATGTTTCTCTATAAACTGGTCGATGTGTTTTTCCACTCCACGAGCTCCACAGATCTACAGATAATAAATAGTACAGAATACAGATAATACAAAAATAGTGTCGCTCAATAAACAAGCACAATAATTAGACATGGGGGACTGTTTCCTTCTCTAAACAATAGTTTTGCACATTAATGGAGATGCTCAACAAGCAATCATTTGGACAGAATGGAAAACCTCTGGTTACGATATTTACAACCTACCATCTCTTGCTGCCTGTGCTATCAGTTCTGTTTAGTGCTCAGATAAACTGGTGCCTGGCCCATGTAATTCTCGTCCTGGGTCTAATTAAAAAGACGTAGAGGTTTAAGTAATCTGTTGAAGCACCGCCTTTTTGAATTGGGTGTGAGCAACAGCTCACCAAACACATCATTAAGATGAGAATGCTGAATGCTGTCTTTTGTTCTGCTGCTGCTGAAAACACTGCCTCATCGAGTCAGCTGATTTCCCACGAGGTGGGTAGAGGTAGCGTCACGGTTCACTGAAGCCTCTGCCAGAGAATAACTAGCGTGATGTTGTACTTAATTTTCAATTTATTCAATCCAACAAAATCGTACAAAAGCAGGGAATGCTAATAATGCACCCCTGAATTATGTATTCGATTTTTACAATTTGTTAAAAAAAACAAGACAGGTACACAGAAACACACTATATACAAATATTGATTATATTTATAGATACTATATACTTATTGATTTAACTAAAAATAAGGTACCAGTAACTATGGGTTGTTTTTAGCGCAGGAAAGATGATATGATTTACGCATCGCATATGCACTAAGATGCCAATATTATAAATATTTCATTATTCAGCAGATTTTCCGTAGATTTTGCCCATAAGAGCCCTACTTTGAGCACGCTCAAAACGAACAAAGAGGAATAAGAGCTGAATGATGTAGGGGATCAAACACTTAGTCCCTCTACAGAACCCAGAGGGTCAATACCTTATCGTGTAAACGCACCTTGCACTTGGTGTTCAAAGTTCACACAGGGCAAATGTGACTTGTTTGTGATTCTAGACTTAAAAAGATGTACGCCGATGAAGGTTAGACATCCAGGTAATGGGATACACAAGGAATTTTTACTCACAAACAATTGGATGAATTTTGAAACTGTAACTTGTGTAAGACGTTTAAGTATAGCATCCACTACTTTTCGTCGATGACTAAAATAATTTGTAGTTGAACAGTTATTTATCCAAAAACTATCAATTGATATTGATAAAGAGATGGTCGTTCTCCGGAATCTACGTATAAATCTAAACAATTTATGCATATTGCAATGATATGCAAATCATTTCCTGGTATGTGTTGGACACTAGATGAATACTTCCGTACACGCAGTTAAATTGTGTGAACAAACTCACAGTCGCTTTAACCTGCAACGAATCTACAAAGTTTCCAGTTGCAATGAATTCCAGTCCAACACACTTCTGGAACTACCTATTGATCTTATGATCTTCCTAACTTCACTGCGTCCGCTAGACTCCTAGATTCTGGGTCATTTTCCCTTATGGGATTTTTCCTCACATACATCAACTGATGGTCAATACACAGACTTAACATGACAAATGTCTTCTTTAGAAAAAACAAATATTAGATCAGACATACTATCAGAATTATCAAGAAATGTGCAACCCCGTAAAGTTGCACGTAACCTTTCATCTATTGCTGTATGGTCTTCTACACATACATGTACATCAACTGTCAGTCAATGTGTAGACTTAACATGACAAATATCTTCTTTAGAAAAAGACTAATATTATATCAGACATACTATCAGAATTATCAAGAAATGTGCAACCCCGTAAAGTTGCACGTAACCTTTTATCTGTTAATGCATGGTCCTCTACATACATGTACATCAACTGTCACTCAATGTGTAGATTAAACATGACAAATCTCTTCTTTAGAAAAAAAACGAATATCAGATCAGACAGACTATCAGAATCATCAACAAACGTGCAACCCCGTAAAAGTGTATGTAACCTTTTATCTGTTAATGCATGGTCCAAGATGTAGTACAATTTAGAGATTCGCCACCCCGTGCTTCAACTGTCAGTTCGCATACTGATATTCTAGATCTCGCCGCAATTAAAATCGATACCCAATAGTTCATCATATCAAGGCAGTTTTGGTACAGTAGGGAGGGAAATGAACTCAACCAAAAGTTCTTCTTTTTCCGCTCAGAACGATTTGGTACAGTAGGGAGGGAAATGAACTCAACAAAAAGTTCTTTCAAAGAGTATCTCTTAGAAAGATTTAGTATTTATAGAAGAGTGTTTTTTCCTCTTGGGCCATCTGAGCATGATAAGGAATTAGAGGCATCAAGTACAAAATCTGTTCATGGGGTAAAACCCTGCGAGGTGTCCCTGCACGAAATGTTGGATTTATCATTGGCAGTAAATTCCAGTTAATTCGGGTAATGTTTACTTTGTAAACAGTAATGAACTTAAAAATGGTAGTAAATGAAATTACTGACCCTTTATTTATTACCATTGTAAAGTCCTGTACCGTGTACAAATTAAACATTACACAACCTTATTGGCATTTACCTCCATTGGTGAATCCTAATTTCCGTGCAGGTTTGTAAGTCATAATCAGCGCTTTCGGCGTTCCAAAGTGATACCATCAGGAGATAATTCTACCAGAAGGACAGACCTTGGCTTCAATCCAAGCCATAAGGGAGATATCAAGGGACTTGTTTAATCGTCTTGTTATATTGATTTAATGATTTTTTCAAACTACATACTAGCTCTTACTATATATTTTGTACCACGTATGTGTAAAAAATATGTGTAACTTACCTTTGTTATC